CGGGTCGTCCCGGCTGAGGACAGTCCTGACACTCCCTTTTCCAGTGTCCTTCCTTTTTGCAGTACGCACACTGCTGGGGCCCCAGCTTTGCTGGTGGCCCTGAAGGGCGACTTTAAGGCCTGTTTGATTGGGTGCTTACCTGTGACAGTCTTGGTCCCCGGCGGTTACCTCGAGGTGGTCCCTGAATAAACGTAACTGTGGCCAACAACTGGGCCTTCTTTTCTATCATTTTATCCCTCTTCTCTTCCTCTGCCTTATCTCTGCTGTTGAAAACTTTAAAGGCTTTCTCTACCAATTTAGATAATGGGGTCTGGGGACCGGCCTCCAGTTTTGAAGCTTCTTTCTAATATCTGGGGTACTCTGGGGTACAAAAGGCAGACCCAGCAGAGGGGCGGCCTCTGGTGCCTCTGGATCTCTGTTTGTGTGTCAGCCTATCCAAGAAGGCCACAGGGTTCTTATCTTTTCCTTGGGTTATTTCTTTGACCTTTAAGTAGTCAGTTGGCTTCTGGACACGCTTTTTTTTTCCCTCAGCCACACAGGTTATAAAATGTTTTATTTTTGTCCAATCTGGTCGGTCCTGCTAGTCAAATGTAGGATCGGTTCCAGGAGCTGTCTCATCCCCTGGCTTCAAAACATCATGCTTGGGATTGGTGGGGACAAAGCTGTCAGCATGCTCTCTTGCCTTAGCTAATACTCTCTTCTTCTCATCAGTAGAACAACACGGGGTTAGGATTACTATCATATCCTGTCAGCTGAAGACAAAGTTAAGACCAAGCTTAACAAACTCCTCTCTAAATTTCTCCGGGTCTTCTGAAAACTTGTCCAACTTTTATTTACGTATACTTAAATCTGAAACTGAAAAAGGGACCAGTATCCGGACCACCCCGCCCTGTCCATCTACCACCTCTCAGTGATTTTGATTCCTTGGCCTGGGTCTTTTGGTTCCTAGGCAATACTTATTATGGGATGGGGCCATCTGGCAGTCACCCTGGTCTCTTACCACACATGCCCAGGATTCTGGGTCTAATTGGCTGATCTGAAAGATAACTGCAAGCGGAAAGATTAGGAGAGCAGTTTAAACTTTAACCGCAAGTGAGGTAAACAGGGTTTTGTGGTTGACACCATTCTTCTTCTAGAAAACTTTTTAACAGACATAACATTGTTTAAGGCATTTTCTGCCCCTAGCTAGTCTCAGTAGGTTAGAATCTGGGCGGTGAGGGGGGGACAGTGGTTGACAGTTAAAGAGTCAAGAAATGACACTAGATCATAGGGGTTAAGATAGAAAACAGAGCCTTTTTTTCCTTCTTTCTCCTTTTAGTTTGAGTAAATGTTTTAAACTGAGGTATACCATTCGTACAGAAAAGTTCTTAGGTCCTAAGTGGGCAGCTCACTGAGTTCTCCCAGAATGACCACACTTGTGTAACCAACCAATCCATTGCCATTGAGTTGATTCCGACTCACAGCGACCCTGTAGGACAGACTAGAACTGCCCCATACGGTTTCCAAGAAGGTTAGCAGCCACTGCGCCCCCCAAACCCAGAAACCCCATAGCAGCAGCCAGAGCCACCCTCATGCGCCTCCTAGCTGCCACGCTCCCCTCCCGAGGGGAGCCTCCTTCTGACATCTGCCACCACAGGGTAGTTCTGCCCGTGTTTGAGCTTTAGTTCATCAGACAGAATACAGCTTTTTGTGTCTGGCTTTTTTCAGAACAGTGGTTTTTAAATTCTGTTTCGGTGTCCTCAATGTTAGTTTGAGAACATGAACATTGACGGGGCGAGCCTGCATTTCAGTCCCGTTCCAGATTGCAGAGTGTGGCTCAGCTTGAGCAGGGACATGGTTACGTGGTTAAATGTTTGAGTCTCAGAGCGCACCCTAGCTTCAAGCCAAGTTAGACCAGATGGAGTATGAAATGTCGTCACGGCGAGTGATTCAGCGTATTGACTGCAGTGGACCTCAAAGGGAGCCCCTGGGGGGTGCAAATGGTTAGCACATCCAGCTGCTAACCGAAAGATGAGAGATTCAAGTCCACCCAAAGGTGCATCAGAAGAAAGGCCTGGAGATCTACTTCTGAAAAACCAGCCATTGAAAACCCTGTGGAGCACAGTCCTACTCTGACACACGTGGAGTTGCCATGAGTCAGAATCAACTCAACGGCAGCTGTTTTTTTTACTGGTGCTTCAAAGCAAGGTCGCTCTTCCCCTTGGTGATTCAGGAGATGATGCTTCTAAACACTGAGCTCGTCCTGGGCACTGAGCCTAGCGGCACAGAGAGGAGGCGAGTGAAACACACTTTCTAGTCTAGCACAGGCAAGCGTCTTATCTCTTGTATGAGTGGTATCCATGGGGCTGTTGATTCCATACATCGTGTCATTTTAGTGACAATCCCCCCTAGTTTTAGAGTTTGAAATGCACATCTGTGTGTGGAAGCATACCTCAGAGTAAGAGTCCTCTCAGGCCCCGGTAAGGAGCCCTGGTGGCACAATGGTTAAGCGCTCGGCTGCTAACCAAAAGGTTGGCAGTTTGAACTCACCCAGAGTTCTGTGGGAGAAAGACCTGGCAATCTGCTCCCATAAAGATTACAGCCTAGGAAACCGTGTGGAGCAATTCTGTATCACATGGGGTCACTATGAGTCAGAATCGATTGACTCAAAGGCACCCAGGGACAACAGGACTTAGGTGCTATACCTGAGAACAAGCTCGCTCTGCGTGGAGGTTACAGCACATCACGTACAGCTCTGAATGGGGAGGCTTGTATTTCCCTTGGCAAGCAAATGGTACTCTGTCTGTCCTTTGTTTGTGATCTAATCCAGCAAAGCCAATTACTGGAGTCGCGCTTGAGGCCGCAGCATGACTAATCTGCTTACTTAGGCCCGCTCTTGTGAATGCCTGGCCTCCAGGGTGGCTGGTGTGGACTCTGGAAGAGGAACGGCTCCCAGAGATTTCCACAGACCCAAGGATACATTTTACTTTGTGCTTTTTTTCTTCTGACTTGTTTTAAAACAATTAATATGAAAACACTTCAGACAGCCAGAATGCAGTGATGTGACTGTTGCCAGTGATTTCCTCCTTCACGTACAGCCTGAGGGCCCATCTTCTCCTCGCCCTTGTCTGCTTTCTTTTTTATTTTTTATTGTTGTAGTTTAAGCGAAAGTTTACAATTCAAGTCGGTCTCTCCTACAGAAATTTATACATACGTTGCCACGTGACCCTAATTGCTCTCCCCACACTGTGACGGCACACTCCTCCTTTCCACCCTGGATTTCCAGTGTCCATTCAATCAGCTCCTGTCCCTTTCTGCTTTTTCATCTCACCTCTGACAGAAGCCACCCATTTAGTCTTATGTATCTACTTGAGCTAAGAAGCACACTCTTCACGAGTATCATTTTATGTCCCATAGTCCAGTCTAATCTTTTTCTGAAGAGTTGGCCTAGGGAATGGTCTTAGTTCTGGGTTGACAGAAAGTCTGGTAGCCATGTTTTCTGGGATTCTTCCAGTCTCGGTCAGACCATTAAGTCTGGTCTTCTTACTAGAATTTGAGTTCTGCACTGCACTTTTCTGCTGCTCCATCAGGGACTCTCTGTTATGTTCCCTGTCAGGGCGGTCACTGGTGGTAGCCGGGCACCATCTAGTTCTCCTGGTCTCAGTCTTATGGAGCCTCTGGTTTATGTGGCCTTTTCTGTCTCTTGGGCTGATACTTTCCTTGTTTCTTTGGTGTTCTTCATTCTCCTTTACTCAAGGTAGGTTGGGACCAATTGATGCATCTTAGATGGCCACTTACTAGCTTTTAAGACCCCAGACGCCACTCACCAAAGTAGGATGCAGAACATTTTCTTAATAAACTTGTCCGCTTTCTTGATATCTCTTTAAGCTACTGTCACCATGCTTGGTGGTGTCATTGGTTAAATTTCCATAAGCATTCACGCCGACCTGTGTGCAATGAGAAAACCCGATCTAGCATAGAACTCAGTCAACCAAGGGAGCCATTACACGTGTTCTCTGCCACTAGTGGTCCTTGAGAAATCCTCAGGCCAAGAGCTTTGTCACAGACAACAGTGTAAGTTGTACTATTACAGTGTACTTTGGGTAGCAACCCGTAGCATTAGAGCAACCAGTATAAGTGAACCACATTCAGGCCCACCATTTGCTGTATGACGGTGGGAAGCCCCTTCCCCTCTCTGAGTCTCAGTCGTCAGCTGGAAAAAGGCAGTGTGATGGTGCCCCCTCCCGGGGCTGCTGAGAGACTGGACAGGTAGCCATTTAATGCAACGCCGGCCACATGGTAGGTGTCTTCACCTCCTGGTGCTGCTGTCACAGAAATACCACAAGTGGTGGCTGTAAAGAACAGGAATTTATTTCCTCACAGTTCAGGAGGCTAGAGGTCTGAATTCAGGGCACCGGCTCTAGGGGAAGGCTCCAGCTCTGTCAGCCCTGGAGAAGGTCCTTGTCTCAGCTTCGGCAGCCCTAGCGCTCGTCGGTTCCTTGTTGGTCCTCACATGCGCTCCCGTCCTCCCCAGTCTGTGCTCCCTTGTCTCTGTGTCTAACCTGCTCTTTTTATATCTCGCAGGCAATTGGATTTCAGACATACCCTATTCTGATACGGCCTCATTAACATAACATAACAAAGAAAACCCTATTCCCAAACAGGATACATCCACAGGTACATTTGTGGGTGTTCTGTGCTGCCCGATCGATTCCGACTCATAGGGACCCTACAGGGCAGAGTAGCACTGCCCTCGTAGGGTTTCAAAGGCTGTGATCTTTACGAAAGCAGACTGCCACATCTTTGTCCTGCTGAATGGCTGGTGGGCTCAAACTGCCAACCTTTCAGTTAGCAGCCAAGCGCTTAACCACTGCGCCACCAGGTCTCCTTTCCGCGGGTATAGTGGTTAGCATTCCAACACGTATCTTTTGGGGGCACAATTCAATCCATAACAGTAGGCGTTCGGCAAACATCCGCTGTTAGGAGCATTTTCAGCCTTCACCTTTATCTCCCTCCTTCAGGATGAAGTTGATGCTGCTGTAGAGATGCTGTCATCACTAAAAGCCAGCTACAGAAGTGCAGTGGGCGAGGATTACAAGGCTGACTGCCCTCCAAAAAACCCAGCCCCTGAGAGCGATCGTGACCCCGACACCATGGACCCCGAGGAGGACTTTGTGGACCCATGGACGGTGCAGACAAGCAGTGCGAAGGGCGTCGACTACGACAAGCTCATTGGTACGTCACCCCCTGCCTCCCCTAGAGAGGCGAGTCCTTCACCAAGATGACTCCATCGATGCTTTTTAATTTTGAATTAGTTTAGCTAATCCTGGTCAGACTCCAGTGCCAAGAAAAAATAGATCCTAGAATCTTTTGGTTGCACATTATATTCCTGGGGGATTCTTTTTTAAGTAAAATAACACTATAAAACTTACTTCAAAATAATGATGTATAGTAAACTGCTTAGTAGAAGCTTTTGGCATTTTCTGAGCCGTTCAGAACTTGGGAAAGGTCTATTGAGGTGGTCGTCATTGCAGTTGAATTGCATTCAATTGTCATTGCATTCAGTTGTCTTTCATTTAGCAATTACAAGTCAGCCACAGGTTACTGAAGCTTCTCCGGTGAGACTGATTTTGGAGCTAAAAGGCTGATACCAGCTTAAGAAGGATGATAGGTGGCAAGTCATCGCTGTGAAGCCTTCCTCAGAGTCTTCCTGCTCAGGGAAGACCGTTGCCATGCCATTGAAAAGTCCTTTCTCTGAGATCATTGATTACTCTTCAAAGAAGAAGCAGCACTAAATATTTTTATCTAAGTCAGAGCCATTTTCCATGATTTAAGAATAGACCATCATTGAGGGAAAATCTGAGTGAGGACAAACAGAAGTTCAGCAGTTGAAGAATATTAAAAATTGCTGTTGTCAGTGTATATAAATGATACTGTAATAAACAGCAGCAGCAACTAAGTGTGCGTGCGCGTGTGCGTGCGTGCGTGTGTGTGCGTGTGCATGTGTGCGCCTGCGTGTATGTGGATGTCCCGAGCTGCTGAGCTACATTACATTCTGGGTACATTTCCCGCTAGAATCTAGTCCCAGGCACAGCAGGGTTTATTCTGTCATTGTTTCCTGGTTTGCTGGCTGTGATCTCAGTGGAAGATGTTTTGCTTTGTGCTGGGGGAGAAGGCCTAGAAGGTTGGGTTTGTTGATGTTGGGCCTGGGGCACTCGTGCTTGCTTCCCCTTCATCTCATAATACCTGCTCACCAGGCCTCCTGCCCTGTGAAAGTCAGCTCCTCTTTTTCCAATTGTGTTTCCCAGTCCGGTTCGGAAGCAGCAAGATCGACAAAGAGCTGATAAACCGGATAGAGCAAGCCACTGGCCAGAAGCCGCACCGCTTCCTGCGCCGGGGCGTCTTCTTCTCGCACAGGTCAGCCCACCCTTCCCCCACAGGCTCCGCCCCTCCTGCTGTGCGTGCAGAACACATTAGAGGCTCTTCTCTGAGGCCACCAGATCCGTGGGAAAGTGGTGGCGGTTGTCAGAAACTGGGATCCACCTCCCATCCAGTCAGTAACTCACCGTGGTACCTTGCCTGTCCCCTCACCCTCTGGCCCCTATTTACACGTTTGTAAACTGCCCGCCTCACCAGGTGGAGGTCAAGTTCATAGCAGAAGAGATTCATGCCAGATTGCATGCTGTAAATTGTAAAATGTCATTAAAACAAGGGATTATTATGGAGGGGTGGGGAGGGAAAGACACTAATTAGACAATAAATCAGTGGTAACTGTGGTGAAGGGTAAGACAGTACACAGTACTGGGGAAGTCAGCACAGCGTGACCAAGGCAAAGTCATAGGAGCTTCATTGACACATCCTAACTCCCTGAGGGACCAAGTTACTGGGCTGAGGGCTGGGGACCATGGTATCAGGGGGCATCTAGCTCAATTGGCATAACATAGTTTATAAAGAAAATGTTCTGCATCTTAAACTTTGGTGAGTAGCGTCTGGGGTCTTAAAAGCTTGTTAGCAGCCATCTAAGATACTCGACTAGTCCCACCCTGTCTGCAGCAAGGGAGAATGAAGAAAACTGTCTTAGTCATCTAGTGCTGCCATAACAGAAATACCACAAGTGGATGGCTTTAACAAAGAGAAGTTTAGTCTCTCATAGTCCCGTAGGCTAGAAGTCTGAATTCAGGGCGCTGGCTCCATGGGAAGGCTTTCTCTCTCTGTCGGCTCTGGAGGAAGGTCCTGTCATCAGTCTTCCCTTGGTCTGGGAGCATCTCAGCAGAGGAACCTCAGGTCCAAAGGACATGCTCTGTTCCCAGCACTGCTTTCTTGGTGGTATGAGTTCCCCATGTCTCTCTGCTTGCTTCTCTCTTTTGTATCTCAAAAGAGACTGGCTTAAGACACTATCTAATCTTGTAGATCTCATCCATATAACTGCCACTAATCCATCTCATTACATCGTAGTGATAGGATTTACAACACATAGGGAAATCACATCAAGTGACAAAATGGTAGACAACCATACAATACTGGGAATCATGACCTAGCCTAGTTGACAGATATTTTGGGGGGACACAATTCAATCCATGACAAAATCCAAAAACACAAGGGGAAGATTAGTCCAAAGGACTAATGAACCACAGCTACCACAGCCTCCACCAGACTGACTCCAAAACAACTAGGTGGTGCCCAGCTACCACCACCTACTGCTCTGACAGGGATCACAATAGAGGGTCCCCAGACAGAGCGGGAGAAAAATGTAGAACAAAATTCAAACGTACCAAAAAAAGGACCAGACTAACTGTCTGACAGAGACTGGAGAAACCCCAAAAGTATGGACCCAGATACCCTTTTCACTCAGGACTGAAGTCACTCCTGAAGTTCACCCTGCAGCCAAAGATCAGACAGGCGTATAAAACAAACAGTGACACACGTTGCTCAACCACGTATACAAGACTAGACGGACACACCAGCCCAAAAGCAAAGAAGGCAGGAGGGCACAGAGAGGCTGGATGAGTGGAAGTGTGGAACCCGAGGCTGAGAAGGGGAGAATGTTGCCACATCGCGGGGTTGGCAACCAACGTCACAAAACAACTTGTGGATTAATTCTTCAATGAGAAACTAATTTGCCCTGTAAACTTTCACCTAAAGCACAATTTAAAAAAAAAAAAAGACTATTAAAATGCTGTCCAAGTTCAACGTTTCCCATGCAATAAACAGTCAGCTTCCTGAAATTATGAACCCTCTTCCTCTTATTGTGCTGACCTTCGCATAAATAATAATCAAAAGAGAAACTAATAGACCGTGCGTGGAGCAGAGTGTCCCTGCCTCAGACCATAAATTTCATGCAGATGACGTCAGAAAACGGGCAGGTTCCAAAAAGGTTCCTGCTCTCCCCCTCCTCCCCGCCCCCATTACCCAGGTCAGGGCAGGCCCATTTCCATGCTCGGTTCACGGAATTTAGGACCTGAGATAGATTGTTGTGATCCAGTCTCACCTTGCAATCTCAGGAGGGCAGCTAGGACAGAGCTCAGCAGTCTACCCGAACACTTCAAATTCTACCTGTAGGGAACTCCAAGGCCCACTTGAGCCCACTTTCTGGGCAGAATATAAATCAAGACTTTTTTCTTAATTGCGATATAATTCACATAGCGTATATTTACAAGCTTGTGCAGCCATCACCACGATCTAATTCTCATCACACCAAGAAGAAACCCATATCCGTTAGCAGTTGCTCCCTACTTCCTCTTCTCCCCAGCCCCTGGCAGCCACTAATCAACCTTTCTGTCTCCGTGGATCTGCCTAGTCTGGACATTTCCTGTAAATAGAATCATACAATATGTGGCCTTCTGTGTCTGCCTTCTTTCACTTAGCATCGTGCTTTCAAGGTTTATCACGTTGTAGCGCCTGTCAGAGCTTCATTCCTTCTTACGGGTGAATAATGCACTGTTGTATGGATATACTACATTTTGTTTATTCATTCATCAACTGACGGGTCATTTGGGTTGTTGCCACTTTTTGACTCAACGAATAATGCTGCTATGAATGTTCACGTACAAGTTTTTGTGTTGACGAGTGTTTTCAGTTCTCCTGGGTGTAGAACTAGAAGTGGAATTATTGCGTCGTATGGTAGCTCTGTGTTTTATTTTTTGAGGACCTGCCAAACTGTTTTCCATAGCAGCTGTACCATTTTACATTCCCACCAACAATGTATAAAGGTTCCAGTTTCACCACCTCCTTGACAGCACTTGTTATTATCCGTCTGTTTATTTTAGCCATCCTAGTGGGTGTGAAGTGGTATATCTCGTTGTGGTTTTTGATTTGCATTTCCCTAGTAGCTAATGATGTTGGACATCTTTTCTTGTGCTTAGTGGCCATTTGTATATCTTCTTTGGAGAGATGTCTATTCAAATCCTTTGCCCACTTTTTAATTGGATTCTTTGTCTTTTTATTGTTGTGTTATAATAGTTATTTATATATTCTAGTCTCTTGTCAGATATACAGTTGGTAAGTATTTGCTCGCATTCTGTAAGCTGTCTTTTCATTTTTTTGATAATGTCCTTTGAAGCACACAAGTTTTTAATTTTGGTGAAGTCCAAATTATCTATTTTTTATTTGATTGCTTGTGTGTTTGATGTCGTATCTAGGAAACCACTGCTTTATCCAAGGTCATGAAGATTTGCTGCTATGTTTTCTTCTAAGAGTTTTATACTTTTAGCTCTTACATTTAGGTCTCTGTTCCATTTTGAGTTAATCTTGCATATGGTAGTGTTGACCTGGTATTGCCTCCAGGAAAGGCGTGTGAGGCAGAGGGTGTATCAGCATCGATTTTTGGAAGGATTCTGAAAGAGTGCAGGTCTATCTTTTGAATATATTATTCCAAACCTACGTGTCTTATCCTTTTAAAAACAATCACCCATTAAACCCATTGCCTTGGAGTCGATTCTGACACGTAGCGACCCTATAGGACAGAGTAGACTGCCCCCTAGAGTTTTCTAGGCTGTGATCTTTACAGAAGCAGACTGACACGGCTTTCTTCCACAGAGCAGCTGGTGGGTTCAAACCGCTGACATTTAGCACCCGAGCACTTAACCACTGCACCACCAGGGCTCCTTAAAAACAATCACAGGAGAAGCCTTTTCAGTAGAAGGTCCCTTCCATTTTGTATCATAAGCACCAAAGTAACAAGCTCTTATCCGTGTGGGTTTTTTTCTGCCTTTATATTTCATTTCCAAATGAGTATTAAAGACCAGTTACTACCAAGTCAGCTCTGAATCATGGCAGCCCATGTGTGTCAGAGTAGAACCGTGCTCTGTAGGGTTTTCAGTGGCTGATTTTTCAGACGTAGCTGCCCGGCCTTTCTTCTGAGGTGCCTCTGGGTGACTTTGAATCTCCAGCCTTTCGATTAGTAGCCGAGCGCGTTAACCATTTGTGCCAGCCAAAGACAAACAAGTATTAGTGCCTCGATGTTTTTCTGGGAAAATCACACAGTTTCCTTTCTTCCTTTTCCTCTAGAGATATGAATCAAGTCCTTGATGCCTATGAAAATAAGAAGCCCTTTTATCTGTACACGGGAAGGGGACCCTCCTCCGAGGCAATGCATCTCGGTCATCTGATCCCGTTTATTTTCACAAAGTAAGTAAGGAATGTTCTCATTTTATTGGTGGGCTGAGAGTGTTGGTGATCGCCATGACAACGAGGCAGGACTGTTTCCATGTTGCCCATCAGCCCGTTAGGGTGGGAGTGCCTCTCTGGCTTGTGTTCGCCCTGTTCCTGGGCTCACTCTAGAGGAATGGGGTGCAGTGGGAGAACACACTGCTGTGAGTCCAGAGACCTGTCTCTCATCTCATCCTGTTCCCTGCCCATGGGACCGTAGGCAAGACACTGCCCTCAGCCATAGTTTCCACATCTGCCAAATGGGAATCATCACAATCCCTGCCTCCTAGAATTACTGTCAGCCTTCAGAACAAGCATGTCAGGCAGCTAGCACAGAGCCCGACCTGCAGGGCCCTTCGTGGGTAAACGGTGGCCCTCGCCACCCTCAGGCTCATATTCACAGCACGTTAAGGTCATGTGATTTGTTGGCGAGGAAGTTTTAACATATGCTGTTAAGTAGGAACTGTGTTTTCACATGCAAAATGGCATCTTTCTGCAGGGGAGAAGATTTGTTCACTTTCTTCCCCTGTGTGTCTTAGGTGGCTGCAGGACGTGTTCAATGTGCCCCTGGTCATCCAGATGACGGACGACGAGAAGTACCTGTGGAAGGACCTGACCTTGGACCAGGCCCATGGCTACGCCGTGGAGAATGCCAAGGATATCATCGCCTGCGGCTTCGACATCAAGAAGACCTTTATCTTCTCGGACCTCGACTACATGGGGTAAGGGGAGGACCCTTGGCTGCCTTTGAGTAGATAGACTCATCTGTCAAGTCATCAGTGACCGCAGCTACTTCAGAAACATCTGGAATAGCCTAAAGTCCTGGTAAATGTTTCTCTTCTTTATGTAAACATTGTGATCTGGGTTATTTACCAATACACCCCCATTAATTTTGAAAGTGGAAAGCTGTCTGTACACAGAGGAAAGATTAAGCAATGCCATCATAAAGATGCAGCTCTTGCCCTCATGCTTATACTCACAGGAAAGTCAAAGTCCTGCCCTGTGGTGTCATGCCTCTCGGACTTCCACGCCCGGCTTGTGATGAAGTGCTTCTGTTTTCTAGTCTCTAGTCAGTCTTGCACAGTTGTGTTGTCTTTCGGTTTCCCGATGTACCTTTTCCTCAGAGAGAAAAAGGCTCATGAGTGACACAATTCATGGATTTCACAGTGGAGCTTCTCAAATCGGCTGCCTAGTAGGCCAAAATCTTTCATTCTGAAACGTCTTCCCTAAATCCTTGAATGTAAACGTCTCAGGTCTTGGGCTCTACCCAAGATGACTGACCATAAAGGTTAGGAAGACAAGGCTTTGGCCGACGACCCCCGGGAGTACGCTTTCCCTCTCAGCACATCTCTGTTGAGCACCAAAGGCCTGGCAGCACCCATGGAGCTACGCAGGTGGAGACTCCTTCTTGCTGTACTAGGTGTCGCCCTGGGCCGGGCTCTGAACCTTGAGGGGGTGACCAGGTGCCGAGGGGCTCTGAACCTTGAGGGGGTGACCAGGTGCCGGGCGGCTCTGAACCTTGAGGGGGTGACCAGGTGCCAGGGGGCTCTGAGCCTTGAGGGGGTGACCAGGTGCAGGGGTGCTCTGAACCTTGAGGGGGTGACCAGGTGCCGGGGGGCTCTGTGAGCAGTGAGTGCAAAGTAGCCCAGTTAGTACCATTTCTCAGAACATTCCCTCTCTAAGCTCTCAAAGCTGTGTAGTAGCTTTATATTCACGGGGAGAAGTAGGTGCCCTGCTAGGAAATCTGGCCCTCTGCTAGCCAGTAAAAGAACTCCGGTTCAGATTTTACCTGTTAGACTATTTTATCACTTCTCTTGTTTCTGCCATGTGGTCATAGAGGCATTGTGGTGTCCCTGAAGGAAAACAGACCCAGGTTCAAGTGCTGGCTGCTGTGTGTACTGGCTGGGTGTTGTCGCCAGCCCCGGCCGTGGAATGGATGTGTGGAGACTGTAGGTGGCATCGCTGTTGTAATTTCCCAGCACTCTGTTTCTTTTCTCTCACCTCCTTTTTTACAGTGTCCGCCCCTCGAGGCCGCAGCCTGGTTCTGCTGCTCCTGGCGTGGCCACGCCCCGCTGCTGACACCACCCAGTAGCGGGGCTGTTCTATACAGCCTCTTCCCGCCCACTGCCATCCTCGTCCTCCAGATCCTCAGCAGCCCCTGATCTCTCTGAGGCACAAACCCGACCCTGTCCCCACTTGCCTTCCTTGCCCGTTCTCCGGCATCATTGGGGCCAGTCCTCACTTTTCTTGTAGCACACAGGCCCTTGGTTGTCTGGCCCCTGGTTCCCGCCAGCGTCACTGCCACCTCCCACAGACGGCCACCTCCCACAGACGGCCACCTCCCACAGCCAGAGCAGTCTGAGCTCACCCCCACATCTCTACACACTTTTCTCTGCCAGAACCCCAGCCCTCCCCAGCACACCCCTCCTCCAAACACATCATCAAGCATCGCTTCTCCCGGAAGCTATCCCTCCCTGCAGCCAGCTCTAGATGCCCTTCTCGACTCCCCAGCACACAGCTTCACCTCTGCCACATTGGGTGTGATGTGGGGGTGC